AGCTCTAGCTGTATTGAGTGGGCCACGCTTTCACGGGTGTAAATTCAACTCCTGTATCAACTGCCATTCAAGAAAATTGCTGCTACCTATAATGTTGCCTTCCTTGAGTCAAATGACGTTGAAGATTTATATTTGTAACACATAAAGAAAAGTTACAGTGATTTTCCTGGCACGTTCAATGTTTTCCTTATTCTGAAAACCATGCGTCAAGCGAAAAGCAGAGCCAGGGAAAACGACCGGTGATACGACGGTAGATAGCGCGGGCAATAAGTTGCCAGTTTTTCAAAATTAAAGATATCTCTAATTCTGATCGATTGACAATCAATGATATCCTGAACGAACTATTGGGAACACTACAGTTCACGACTCGAACTCCGTTGATCAGAGAAACACATTTTCCAGCCCCCATGTTGTTCACAGCTTTTACTTCGCAGATAACACATTCTTCATTCGATATCTTTAAATTGTTTTCTTAATCAATTTTCCTCACTTTACCCAACAACCAGTTTAACCTTTTTTTTCCTTTTGTTGCGTTCTTAAACTTTTCTTTTTGGTTTGAGTTTCAACAAAGGTAAAATAAAACCACACTGCAGTTACATTTAATGCCTCAAGTTCCTGTAACGCGTCTGTTTTATATCAGCCTTCATCACATATTGTCATTATACAAAACACCACCTAAAACGGACACGCTCCAAGCCCGCAGGTAGGAAAGATTTTTGATATGGTAAAAAATAAACGAAGTTCTTTACATTTCATTATCAAAATTGCAACACCGTTCAGCATTGTTCTCCTCCACTCAGGTTTTTTAAATCCACATTGTTTCGCTAACTTAACTCACTTAATATCTTCACGAAACTTTTCCATTTACTTCAGCGTGTTAACCAACAGATACAAACTTATCTAACAAAGCCTGTGAGAGTGTTTATATCTTGAAATAAGTGAATAAGCAAGGTATCCCTACGTGTCGAAGCTTCTTTCTAGCTATCTGATCATGACACAGATCAGAACTGGCACGCTATTAACAGATGGAGCAGCTGTGTCAACTTCGCTTATTGTTCGTGGTTCTGCCTCGTGTATTGTTATTAGTCCGTTTAACAAATATGTTTGTATAGCTTGCTATGACTGTGATGAATATTTACGACTAAAAAATATCTGCACACAGTCTCACCTTGTGTCCAAACAGGTTTTAAACTAACCAGGTTGTTGTTAGAATTAAACGCGTACCACAATGAGTTCCTCCTACTCACAACATGCCAAATAGTCTCTTCCGCAGCCGTTATTGGGGTCGTCACGCAACGCTTCTCATTGCGTGACGACCCTAATAACGGCTGCGAAGGAGACTACATGCCAAAGTATCAGATCTCAAACATATGCAGCCAAAGGAGTCCTGTCAACTTCTACTGTGTAAACGTAGGGCTCCTTTCAGTTGGTATGCTAATGAGTAACTTTACGGCAGCCGCTTCAGTGCTAGTTCTCGGTTAGGGTGTTTACTACCAGTTACATTTTGAGCAATCCAGACGCACTAATGCGAATTAAGTCCTGATAATTACTCATGTATGCGTGTCGAAATAAACGGAATGCTTGATTCCCTCTTAAGAACCTGTTTGAGATTACAAAAAGGCACAAGTTGCACAGGTTATCTGATTGTTTTTAAGCTTGGAGTTTTCGGCTTGGATTTGGTACGCCGGGCATCATATTTTTAACTAACTGAATACCCATGCGATTGACCAAAAACCATGTATTAAGTCACGCATAACTAGTATTTCGGCAGGGAAACGGTGGTGAAACTAATGCTGGGCAGGACGATTCAGCAAGTCTACTTGAGGTCAGCCAATTTTCTTCCTGCATTAGAAATTTGTCGGTTCACGATCTCAGGGCATAATTTCTTCACAGACACTGGTCACTGCACAAAACACATGGATCCGGCCAGACATTGTGTTGTGTGTTAGCAGTGGGATTTGCCTGTATGGATGTGTTTGTGTCTTTTTATGCATGGATTAGGTGGGTGTTAAGGAAAGACAACCTTATAATCAATCACCTGATTTGCCGACAACATGTGCACTGCGGCTATCAGACGTTGAAAGACGATTTTCATAACTCTGATTCATTAAGCGCGCTGATAACTAAACAAACGGTAAAATCCATAAAGAAACACAACCTTCTTTGAGGTTTTACGGTGTCAGTGGTAAGACATGAAAGGTCTTAATTTTCCCTGTGAACTAAAATGGGGATATTTAATAAGCCATTTACTACCGTCAAATGCACTTTCGATAACAATAAAACCGACGAATTTCACTGGGTCAGTAGTCAACGGGGAAATTGTATTTCTCCAATCATTTGCTAAGCTATTGTAGCCGTTCTTATGATTCTTGCTTACTAACAAAGTTGTTAGAAATTAGAACATCTTGAGGGTCTGTTTTTACTCATTCTTCTCTTAAGAGTACTCAAGCTATCTGGTTATTTTACACGCGGCTAGCCGTTAAAGAAAACTTACATATTATTCATCATGAGGGCTGCATGCAATTATCGTTCCTTTCTTGTGGTCAATCTTTGTCTTGGCTCAAAATTGCCTTTTTTTACTTTCTAATTAGTTATTTCAATACAGATGAAACATCTTCGATTTAAGTGCTGAGCCCGCGATAGAACAGACCTTACGCTGTCCAGTAAGCATGTGTAGTAGTGGCCCCTGTGCTGAGGCTTTCATTGCGTTCAGTGTTCACTTTCACAAAGGAAGATGACAGAGCAGCAAGAGTGTTAATCAAGCTGATACTGTGCAATCTAAAGAGCGTATTTCATGTAGTATCCAACATTGGTATTGCGAAGCTATGTTGGTTTCATCTCACATCTTGTAGCAAAGTAGAGAAAAGCTTATTAAAACACCATGCCGTTTTATCAGTGAATTGAAATGCGTAAATAAGTTAGCTGAGATAAATCGAAGCCACCCCATACCTTCGCTTACAAGAAAAAACATACACTAGCCAATTCAATAAATAAGGAAATTTACAACAGAAAATTTGCAACATTTTGCTTTTCCGTTTATTCTTGACATTGATACCCCAGAGCTTGTGTGAAATTTCGCAACAAACTTTTAACCTAATTTTAATAATAGAACGCTATACTTTTGACGCGAGGATAAGAAATTAATTTATTTTCACAAATGAAGACACAAAAACGACGCGTTCAATTTCGTTTTTCTCCTAAGTAATGAAATTTTGGACCAAAAATAAGATTTCTTGCTCGTAATTTGTTAAATTTGGGGTTGAGCATTTTTGAGAATTTTCCCACGCAACTCAGTCTTAAACAGACGTGAGAGTGATGTATGTCTATAGATTAGCAGCCAAAGATGAAGAGCAGGAAAAATCAAATTGTTATTGTGGTTATCGTAACTTTTTGAATGATTCAACTGATCAGTTCGACTTTTAATAAACATTACGCAAAAGAGAATTCAAAGCTGCTACACAGTTTTGCTCCGTTGAACTCGTTTTATTTTCTCATTAAGTTGCATATGTAGGCATTCACGAACGTTTTCAGCTTCTGTTCAATTTACTAAATGTTATTCAAAGACAGCCGCCATCATTTATCACTGACAACGCATTAAACAAAACCCGCTGGTTTAAAAAATATACAAAGGAAGTTGTAATTATGTTAAGGTGTACTGCAATTGGAGTGAAACTAAAGTTGGATACGCCACAAGTACTCACCCAAAACGTAAGAACCCCGGTGAAACTCGGCTAAAAGTATTTTTAGTTCACTGTCGAGCAGTTCGAATAAATTTTGATAAATATTAAACTTATTCGCTGAGCTAGCTTTTGTTTAGCCACATTCAAAAAATTATGTTGTAATTACTCGATTATAAACGGTCAAGTGCATAGTTTGGACTCGACCGCTCTTTTCGCGTCGCAGTTTACTACAAAAGAGACTAGCAGGGGAGGTTTAAAAACAGAGCACGTTTTCTTTCATTTAAAATCCATTATGTTATAATAGTTGCGGGATTTATCATGAAAACTACTTTCTTTCTCACTATTGTTTAGCTGCCTAGATTCCGGTGTCTATGATCACGAGAGCGGGATGTCCTCTCCGTGAATTTCAAGCAGGTGGTAACCCTTTTAAATTGCATTCCCCTTGGACTCGGTCATGTTACCATGGGAGTTTTACAAGGCTGTTCAGTTCTTGAATATCGTCTTATTTGTCCATGACAGGTACCCATTGTCGCTGATGTTCCATTAGCTTAAATCTTTTAGAATGTTCTTCGGCGACCACAAAATAATTCCTCTCGCCCTGATTTATTTTATTTTCTTTTGTTAACGCGCGTATGCTTTTCAAAGTTGTTAAACAGTGCTGAGGGTAAAGATGACTGACTGATTCTCGGAGCTGTCTTTTTGATTTGAGATATATTTTTAACTTTGCTGAATGCTCGGTTTGGACGTCCGAGACAGTTTTGACTCGAGAATGGCACTTTTCACGATAATCCTGACATATGATGGCAATAAAGAATGTTCAATATTATATCACTCGAATATTGTAAATAAACGTTGGTTTTCAGCGCTAATTTGTTGACATTTTTAATAATTTTCTTGCTTGGCGGTCAGTCGACGTTGTGATAGCTTGCTCAGGTTGTCCTTCACAGAATAGCGACACAATTACACAAAGGAATAAGAAATATTATACATTTTATTCAAAGCCAAAATCAGGCTCTTTTCGGCAAAAAATTTGTAAGTATCAATAAAATGCAAACGTATATTATCTTGATTGCTATTAACGCTTTAGGTTTGAGTAAAACAAAGATAAAAGAAAGTCGAAAACTAATTTAGCGCCATCACGGGCTTGAAGTGTTTTCAAGTGGTTTTGGTCTCATAGGAACCAAGCTGCTTCACTTTTCCTTCTTGTCAGCTGCGTCGAAGAAAGTAAATATTTTTCTTACAATGAGGGCTTATTCGAGTAAAAAGCTGGCAAAGGATCGAAAATTGAAACGCAATTATACAGTCTTACTTTCCAATAAGTGGTTTAAAAAGAGCATGTTTTGTTCTTTGTTTAGTCAAATTATTCCTATAGCAGGTCACAACAATATCAACATTTTAAACAACGCAGTTTTTGGAATTAAGCAGTTTATCGATACAAGAAGAAAGCTGGAACATTCTAACAAAGCTTACTTTAATTCAAATGAACGAAATACACTAAGCTATTTATTTTTGTGGTCCGTTTCACCTGTCGGAAAAATCATATCATCATACAATATTATGTTTGTTTATTGAATGGCCTATACATTATTTCTAAAGCGACATAATCTTTACTGTAGAAATTCATTGTGTGGCGTACAAACTAAGGCTGGGTAGCCCTACTTCTAAGAAAACTCATCATAGATCGATCTGTTTTGAGACCAAAATACATTTTTTGAACTAACAGTGTATTAATAATACTCAATGTTTTATTCCTTGCGCAATGGACAACTAACAACGTGTTACCTGCTCAACATGTTCAATTCAAATTAAGGTTGAATTCTTTTAAGAACAAAACGACGCATGCATATTTATGTGCAAAACCGTGATTCAGTTTTTGAGCTACCTTTTCTGTGTTTAGCAATACAGAAGCTATTTCCTCTTTGGATGGTGAAGTAGCATTATAATTCAACATTAAACGAACGAAGGGCAAAAGTAAAGACTTCGGCAAATAAAGCAATTAATGCGACACTTTTTTACACCTTCATATGCACATATTGAACTTGAAAATAACACCAAATAACCATATTTTTAATTGTCCTGCATACCTTCTGAGAAATCTTTATCAAATCGTGAAGTACTCTTCTAGTAAAAATCTACCAACCTTCTCAGTACAGGCAGACATGCGGTTCTCTGTCTTAAACGTTTAAATGCAATCAGTGATGTTCTATCAATTTTATTAAGAAGTCTATCTGTATTCCTTAACTCTTCGCTCACAGTTTAGGGGTAAATGCTTGATTCCGTTATATTCTACAATACAGTTTCGAATACTTTAAGGCCTGATCTCCTAGTTTAATGTTCTTTAAGAAAAGTGTATATTTGGTTTAATTAGTCTTTTCACTCTCTGGGCTTGTTCTATACTCATGTCTCATCGTATGGCGGCGAACATCGACTTTACGGTAAAATCTCCTGCCACAAATCTTGCAGGGAAAAGGTTTAATCCCTGTATGGCGCCTCATGTGGGTTAACATGTTGGACGACTGGCTGAAAACCTTGCCACACTGCTTACATTGGAACGGTTTCACTCCCGTGTGCATCAGTGTGTGTTTCTTCATGTCGGACTTGCGGAGAAAATTTTTCCCACAATAATTACAAGAGTATGGTTTGTGGTCGGAGTGAATAAGTTTGTGAGTGGAGAGACTTGAAGGCCTCTTAAACTCCTTTCCACATTCTTGGCACTTGTAAAGTTTCGTTTTGAAGGTTTGCTCGTCTGGCGTTATCTCTTCGTTGTTAGCACTCGTTTCTCGTGCTACCAGCTCGCCTAAGTTCGGTGGATCTCGGCAACCTGCCACTCCGACCGAGGGAAAGAAAGCCTCTTGACCGAAGCTTCTTTGAATGAATGGTGACTGATGAACGAGATGACGGAAGGCTAATTCGTCTGGGTTTGGTACAAGATTTGGGCAACTGTACGAGAAAGGTAGAGCACCATATCGAGGTACCGGTCTAAAGACGAAAGGCGTTGGTGGAGCCGGCAATGAGAAAGGAACCTTGGGAAAACTAAACTTCGTCTCAAAGTACTCTACGCCATGCCGTCTGACAAGAGTGGGAAGAGAAATGCGTGGGCGATAATCAGCCTCGTGAACTTGCTTGAAAGAAAGGTCTTGTGCAGAAGGCAGGACATCACGGCTTGTTTCCACTGATTTATCTGTATCGGCAGGGGTCTTCTCCGTTTTGATATCTGCAATAGGAAACGGACGTTTTTGAGATTATTTTTAGGGCGAACTTTACACCAGTCGCTTTTAAAGAATGGCCATATTTGCAATAAAGAAGATTGCTGAAAACAGATACCATTTGTTATGAAAGGACCACGCCAAACGTTTGGCACATAGCTGATAGATTAATGGGCTACCAAGTAACCGCCGGAAAACCGAACGCATTTAAAACCCACCCTCGATGCCGCACTGAATTTCGAATGCCAGCATTTTGAAAGCAGTTTTACGAGTTTTAAATCCATTTTTTTATGAAACGAGAGTCGAAATTTTGTGGGTGATTTTGGTGTTAGCGCAAATTTTAAAAAAGTAATATGAAAGAAGTGCCAAAGATTTTCAACCGTTTAGGGATTTTGTTCCGAATTAGGAAAGGTTAGCTTTATTAGGAAATCTCTCCGTATATAGTAAAATCTTGAATTATTTGTTCTTTTCAATGTTTCGATAATTCGAAAACTGTGAAGTAAGCAAAAATCTATTCCCACTTGTTGTTCCGCGCTGCGAAAAATTAGTCATTATCTAAACTTAACATCGTAAGCTAAGCAATTAAGAACATCAAAATAAACCATTTAAAACAAGGTGGAATCAAACCGTTAAAAGATTCCTTCAATAGAAGATCTGCTCAGAGCTTGCGATAAGCCTGTGCCAGTGCTCTCTTTGTCTTAATTCGTTCCCCTTGCGTTTTTTATTTTCCTGTACGATTCATTTTATTTAATTCATTTTACGAAGATGGAAGGATAGATGAGAGCAGAAGTTATAGAGAAGTTAGAGTTGTGGTTAGGCAAAACTAATTGTGCAAATTTTAACTGATCTAGAAGAATAAACAAAGATTACATCTTGTAAGAAAAACGGTTCATTTGGTTTGCATTGTGGTCCCATCCTTTTCTAACCGTAAGTGAGTGCTACAATATCAGATTGAAATATCTCAAAGAACTTGCTGTGTCTTAGAAACATTGTATTTCTCCTGAAGGCAGAGTTATACGCGCTTCACCAAAGAAACTTCGAAAGACCCCAGTTTGGCGATTTCTGTATTTCTTTTAAGAGTGAGATAGTGGTGAGGGTTTTTTGATGGAAATGCACTTGTAGGTGCGCGATGATGTTCTCGCTTGGAAGAGTAATCCTAACAGTTGAGAGTTCGTGTGTGATTTATAGCCCCGCTCACTTTGGTTTGTGCCATGATTCATCTCACACGGTCACTTCAATAAGAATCCTGCGCGTTATTTTGTAAACATCACAGGTTTTTCCCGCACAATCAAATCAAGTTCTTTTCATATTCTCACTTCTGTCCTGACCACTCGGAAAATTTTTTTAAAAGAAAAGTGAAACTGATAAAAGACTCGTTTGCGTGCTAGAGTGTACTTAAGGTTTTTTTGCTCACCTGGAATGGTTCTCGTTTGAGCTGGGGCTGCACTTTTATCCACTGGGACAAGATTTGCTTGTGGTCTTCCTCTCACTAGAAAAGAACGTGGCATGCTGATCTTCTGATTCTGAACGCTGCCATGTAAATGACAGACAATTACAAGGGCTGCCTTTTTAAAATCCTCTGCAAATATGTAAATTGCAATTTAATTACTTTCCTTTCATTCGGATACCTTTTTATAGTGCGGTGTTCCATGTGTTTGATTTTATTGTAAAGTATCGCGAACACATTCTCAAACAGGCCTATTATTTTACGCTAAATATAATTCCTTTCCCAAACCTATTACGGAAGGAATTTTCTAAAACAAACTCCTACGTTTCGTCGACTCCGCATATGATTTTGCATTTTCTTGCAAATTTTCAAATTAGTCATTTGTTTTGTTTATGCGATTATCATAACTATCTGAAAACAAACCACTGGTAAACAGATGGGGATATGGACAATAGCTACTTAGACACAATTTCGAAGAGCTTCTCTCACCCTAATTCTATAAGGGTCCAATTTCGGACTCGTAGAATTAAGATCCAAGTTCTTTTGACGTTTTAAAGCTTTTTGAAGTTCAATTGCGCAGTCAGAACTAAAGAGCCATCAGGAAGTCGAAATCTACGAGATTTTCCGTGCGCATTTTTTATTATTCAATTCAGAAAAATGAGGGCTTGGAAAAGATTTTGATTCCATATAGTCATATTTTGCGAAAATACTACTTGGGATATCGTTCGCTCGTGTCCAACTTTTATAAGTTTATTGGCACATAGCAGAATAATATGTCGGCTCTCTGTTTGATCGGTCAGACAGTGAGATGTCGTTTTCTCGCTGCACTCCTCAGCGGCAGGTGTGATGCGGCGAACCAAGAAGACTTATGTACAGTTAGGCGGATGAGAATATTCGAAAAAAAGTGTTTCCAGTAGACCAGAAAGATCAATTTATCGAAAGCAATCTCTAACTACTTCCACTGGCATTTCTTAGTTGCATGTAATACAACAAAGAAACTAGATTTTCTTTAAAATATATTCAATGGATATTATTTAAAATTGCTTAGTTACTACATTTTTGTGGCTCTTGCATTGGCCTTTCAATATGATGGTCACTTCATACGTTCCTGCAATTAGCTGTTTTATGCTTTTTGTGGTAAATGCATCAGAGGCCTGTTTCCGTCGTTTGGTAGGCTTAATTTACCATAACTTTGAACAAACCGTATACAGGTCGTTTTAGGTTCAAATCACTAAGCAACCAACAGCGATTCGCGAATCACTCTCTACACGCAGACAGACTTTCAAAAGAGCTCAGTGTGTAAATAAATAAACTCCATAAGTTGTGTGTGTCGCCAATTTGGCCTTTCTTAGCGATTTTGCTTGTGGTTTATTATGCTGTATCACAAACTCAAGGGTCGTCGAAGAAACTCGAAGTTTTCCGAACACCGTCAAATCAAAGGGCGGACTCTGGAACTAGAGGCCATCCTGAAGGCGTGTCTCCTTTGTTAGCACTATTTCTACCAGTTCAAAGGAAGAATTGCGATACTCGCTGAATAATGCTAATTTAGCTTCAGTCTCTTGAGCATTCATATCTGCATTGTTTACTGCCTTTTTTTCATGTGCTTTTTGTTCCGTTCAATATTGTTGAATTGCCCTTCATGACAATGGAAGTTTACGCAACTCTGTTTCATTGCCGTATCGTCATAATGTTTTTTGCGAAACAAATTAGAGGACACGAAAGCTGTTAGGTTCAAGGGAAGCTTTTAATTTCAAATCCACCTGATAGATATCAATTTGAAAATTTTATGAAATGCTGAAAAAAAAATTTCCACAGCAAGTAAAATGTATGATTTTCTTTCTTTCTGGAAGATGTACAAACAGCCCTGACGGCAAGCCGTCAAGGTGCGCTCAGCGGGAATCTGTAGTGCTGTATTGATTAACCTTGAACTTTTCACCGATTGAGGCCCTGTCAGAGAGATTTTAAATGAGACGGTTGATTATCGCTAGTGAAGCTGGTACCTAAATACTACGAATACGGGTACGGTCACGTCCTCAATCTCAGAATAGCCTACTTTGTTTCTTCGCACTGGCAGGTTCACAATGCATCTACTGTGTTCATGACGCCCCATTAATCTAGCCCACTATCACATTGTAAAGCTTCAAGTTAGTTTTTGAAAATAGTAAAACAAATATCACGAAGCTCCTTTTTTTTTAGCACTGTGAGTAATACAGGGATGTACCACTTTGATCTCTTGTTTATTATTTCAATAAAGAGATCAGTTTCACAATTGAATAGCATCTTCTAAATTGTTCAGTTTTTACACAAAACCTGGCAGTCTCACCACATGTACACCTTGCATTGTGTCTGCGAATGTTGAGGAACAGGTACATTTGCACGTATATATCTAATTGCTGGTTTTCAGTGTCACGCCATTCAAAATAGATCAAAATAAAAATCAAAACCGTTCAATAGATAAAGTCCAGAATCTGAGAAAAGAAAGA